CTGAGGTATGCTGCATATGTGTGGATAGAGCGTAAAAAGCTCTATCAGATGATATCTAGAAATCATGTGTTTACCTGCAAAGAATTGAATAACGCGTATCTTTGTTCCCGAAGCTGTTAATGGGCATATCTCCTGACATTAAGAGTTAAAGCCACCAAGCCGTCGTGAGTTTGGTGACTGTCCCACCACCCTCTCCAGCAGTGGTACTTTGGGTGGTCTCACATGTTTCACTGCGCCGATACCGCTCAAACTTCAAAATTTCTCGAAGTAACTAACTTTGCATTTTGGCAAGTATAAAAATTATCAATCATATAAATGACCTTATATGGGTGCTATCTGAAAGAGAATAATTTATTCTAATATCCATCAAAATTGGAAAGTTCAGTCACTTTTCTTCCTTGAGAAATCTGCAATTATTCTCAAGGTGTCCCATTTTTTACCGTTCACCCTAATACTTAAGGAAAGCGGGTAAAAATAGTTCGCTGACTTCTTGCGGTCGGCTTGCAGATATTTGAAAGAATGTTGGCCATTTTTTGGACGAACGCATAGAGGAGATTTGCGGCTTTTTCATAGATTAATTGCAGCGTAGTGGCCGCATACTTGTACACTTTTCGACAAAATATGCGTCGAAGGCCTCCTTTGTGAAGGACCGCACAGCCCATAGATACATTTCGTAAACGAAAGTACCCTATTTTCAGGTGTATAAGCCGCACCCTTTTCACTCTAAAGGCGAACAGGCCAAAAGATTGACTGTCATCATGGAGCGCGTTACGTGAGAGCAGTATGCGATAAGGCGACCGCTTCGCGAGACATATGCGCGGCGGCACGCCTGGGTCTGCTCGCGTTTAGAGCAAAAAGGGTGCGGCTTATACACCTGAAAATAGGGTACCTTAAACTTAGATAGTTAAGCCCAACAATGACATCTCTGCCATATAGAGTACATCTTTGTTCAGCTTATGACCGAAACTGCGTCACCAAGTCAGAGCGCTTCCTGAAAATTTGGCCAGCGCTCGCTGAAAGAAATTATTTGACGACCGCTCGCAGAAAATTCTGTATCGTTTCCCACTGGCAGAACATGCGACCGTAAAGAAAGTACCGCTCGCTGAAGGCTGCCACTCCCAAAAAGTCTGTGACCCTGCAAGAGAGCGCGAGTTTGCGGTCGCCTGCGTCCGGCGATTATTTGCTTACACATACATACATTTCCATTATACGTGGATCCGATTCGAATAAAAATTCGATGATTCGAATAAACACTCGGATGTCTTCGTATTCAAATCGATATTCGGGATTTTTCCAGTTCCGAAAAAATCGAAACTCGAATAATCAAAAAAGAGGTTTCGAATAGTTTTTATTCGAGTTCTTTGTTCGAATCCGTATTCGAACGATTCAGTTTGTTGAAGAGCATTTGCTGGATATCAAGCTCGCTTCGTCTGCCTTTTTCTCAATACTCGATAATGCATCTTTCTGCAGCCGTGGTCACTTTAAATTGTATGGAAATTCGCATTCCTCCAACAAAAATTGGGTGTGGATTTTGACTAATTGCTTTTTCGAATAATAAGATGGTCCGCACTGCTATTGGCACCAAATCAGCAAAAAAAACCAGCTACTGAATTGAGTAGCTTTTTTTTTGCTTTCGATTAATAAGATACTTCGCAGTGCTATCGGTGCCAATAGCAATGCGGACCATCTTATTATTCGAAAAAGCAATTAGTCAAAATCCACACCCAATTTTTGTTGGAGGAATGCGAATTTCCATACAATTTAAAGTGACCACGGCTGCAGAAAGATGCATTATCGAGTATTGAGAAAAAGGCAGACGAAGCGAGCTTGATATCCAGCAAATGCTCTTCAACAAACTGAATCGTTCGAATACGGATTCGAACAAAGAACTCGAATAAAAACTATTCGAAACCTCTTTTTTGATTATTCGAGTTTCGATTTTTTCGGAACTGGAAAAATCCCGAATATCGATTTGAATACGAAGACATCCGAGTGTTTATTCGAATGATCGAATTTTTATTCGAATCGGATCCACGTATAATGGAAATGTATGTATGTGTAAGCAAATAATCGCCGGGTGCAAGCGGACCACAACTCGCGCTCTCTTGCAGGGTCACAGACTTTTTGGGAGTGGCAGCCTTCAGCGAGCGGTACTTTCTTTACGGTCGCATGTTCTGCCAGTGGGAAACGATACAGAATTTTCTGCGAGCGGTCGTCAAATAATTTCTTTCAGCGAGCGCTGGCCAAATTTTCAGGAGGCGCTCTGACTTTTGTTACGCAGCTTCGGTCATAAGCTAAGCAAAGATAACACTCCATATGGCAGTTGAGGCGCTTACAAAAGACTTTGAGAAAGCATATGAAAACGCAATGAAAGGCAACAGATCGACTTCAAATATGATTAGGTAGTGGCTGTTTGTCTTCGCAGTGTATGACGATGCAGCAAAACCTCAATAAACTTATATATTTGTACAAATCTTGATTCAGAACAATCAAACTCCTCATGAGACCTACTTCTGTCAGCTGAAAGATCATTGTTATATTTATCATACTGGTACCTGATTTATCACACTGGTACTTGATGGTTTTTCGTGATCGACTTCCTTCAAAATGAAAAGTGCGTTCAAATATTTAGAACCATTACAAAACCCTAGGAAATTGGTGAAGTTTGTTATATTTGCCGCTTTCGTATGCAAAAGCTGTGCAAAGTTACTGTTGAGGTTCAGATGCTGAATCCAGCAGTTTGAATACACTTTTGTGGGTTTTCATTGACAACAATTTTGTAAGTCAAAGTACAAGTAACCGAGTTTATTGTGCCATACATTCGCGGTGTGTAATGTGATCCCTCTATTTGTTGTCTTTCTAGCATAAGAGAGAGATGCATGATAGATTTTGCAATTGTATCATATATGCAATGAAGATACGATACAAAGTTTAAGGTTGGATAAGAAAGGAAAACATTAGCAGAAATGCTTTGTAACAATGAGATAGTACAAAACAAAAAAAAAGCAATTGCAACCTAGGAAGACAAGTGAAGAAAGTAATGCGTGAGACATTGTAATATATTACAAACGAAGATGAGGCAACAATGAAACCAAAACTGACGCAAGTTTGAACTGCCAATCGCGCTTGCCTGCACATCTAACTTTCTAGTGCGATCAACAGCTCAGACAATTGGAAACTCTCAGCGGGCAGCGATAGCAAGCAGTTTCAGTGGGCGGGCGGCGATAACTCGGAAAAAGTAGCGAGCGGGCAGCGACAGGCTATCAGCGGGCTGCCATAAACTTGCGTGAGTCAGAAAATAACTACAGAGCGCGTTATTGCTACAAAAGCACCCCGAATGCGACGACAAGGCAGCGATAACAGCTAGTTGGCAACGACCAGGAAGCGATGGGGTTGCGAAAGCAAGGTTTTTGTGAGCGGGTCGCGAAGATACTATGAGCGGGCACCGATTTCTTGTATCTGGCTGGTATCGATTGATTTGTGCAGTGCTCATCTGTGCACATGTAGATACGTGTCTTTTGCAAGAAAGAGCACGGCGTCATTAGTCATTGATTCTTTCTGTGCGTCCGTCAGTATCCCAGCTTATCGTCTTAATTTCATCCTTGTATGTATCTCATTTGCTTTCCCACAGATTTTCTCTCTCTATTGCATTCAGAATATCGCTTAGCAAATATGGCACCACTATTCTCTTATGATGAGATCGTGGTGTGTAGTTTGGAGAGAATTTCTTTTGTTAGCTTCTTCTCTGTATATGTCCTCTCCACGACAGTGGGTGCCGTACTTTCTCCAGTTTGAATTGTTTGAATTTTGAAGACATTGAAGATTGAAGCTTAGTTCGTGTTTTTGTGAGTTACCATAACTTTCGTTTGCTTTTGATGGTTGTTGCATAAGGGGCCGGGCATACTTCACGCGATTTCATTCGCGACGCGGTTTGGCAATATTTCAGCTGTCCGTAACTCATTGTAGGCACAATTTGAATGTACAAAAGATAGCGTATTTATCAACCCACTTAAGTCATACACACCATGCATGTGCAGTTTGCTAGTGTTGCATCTGAAGAGTTCTGGCGAATTGCCAAATTGCGTCGCGACTGAAATCGCGTAGAGTATGCTCGGCCCTTAAGATACGGAAGCGCGATAGCACCATCAGCTGTACGATGACTCATTGAAAAGATGGTCGTGCGTCCTTGCTCTTGCTTCATAATCATCACTTTTTGTAGAATCTCGACATTATTTTGATGTGCGGACGATAGTAAATGAAGCAAAATGACTTGATTGCTAGATCAATACACATTCCCTACCGCCAAGACTTGCGCGCAAAAGGGGGCGTTCCGGCTTCTTTGGGTGCTTTTGGGCTTTTTTGGCCGCTTTTGGGTTTTTTCGGGCGCTTTTGGGCTTCTGAGCTTTTGTGTTATATAGCTCGTACCGACTATTTGAGCGGATCAAACACGGTAAGGTAAAAGCAGTTACGCGAGACTGTTGCAACTGTCGAAATATTAGAGTTTAGACCTCCCTCTTTCTCTCTGTCTCTGTCTCTCTTACTCACTCTTTCTCTCTTCTCTACTCCTCATCATCGCAGTATATAGAAAAATATATCATTGCGGGAGACTCCGCTTTGATTTCCCGCCAGCGTGACGCCAAATGACGTTAATTCTGCGCGGGACCCCAAGTTGAATAAGATACTCGCTTAGTCGGCGCCTATCATAATGACTTGTCTTACCAATTCCACTAATTGCTTGCACATGCTCGTCGACCTTTACTTTGTACTCAGTAACCTTTTGATGTCATCATCCACACGAACGATATCATTTCAGAAGCGATCGACGCTTTCTTTCCCAACCGCTAATTTCAAACTGGTGTCGAAATTTTGCAAGTAACTTCTGGGCATGTTTCTATGGCCCTCAAAAGACGTCCCCGATACGAAGACACCGGAGCAAGAAAATGTAGAAGTGAGATCGATGCTTATAAGTATTTGTAGCTTATCACCAATCATGTTTAGAAATGTTTCATGCCAAGGTGGAACACGAATATGCGAAGCTACGGACCATCTCACGCTTACGCGACAGTGCAGACAGGGAAGAATTTAGTTTGGATAAACGAGGTGACGTGATGCGAGTAGAAGCACCTCAAAATCAAGAACAGTTCCATGATCACCAGCTGCAGGTAAGTTCTAATTCACAGTTTTTTCTCAAAGCTTTTGCACTCATTTTCCGACTCAAACTGTCTCTTTAAACTTACACTCTGTTTTTTGGAGCAAAGAAGAGAAATGCATTGGCAAGCTATCTACCACTTCAAAACTAGAGTGAGGGGCAATTTCGTCACGTTTTTCACTCTTCATTGCTCGCGCTGAACTCTGAACTGATTTCTGATGTTACTAACTAATGACTTGTGAGTCGTGTGGTGCGGTGCGTCTTGTGCAGATGCACATATTGAGTTGCATGACCGCGGTAAGTGAAGTCAAAGTCGACAATTCATATGATCATGTATGTCACTGCACACACATTCCACGTTTGGCGTTCACATGTCGGATTCTTGGAGGAAAGAAATCTTTAGGCAACAGTTTTCAATGTGTTCTTAATGTTCTTCCGTTCCTTCTTAGCTACGAATCATCTTAAATTGATGTAATCGAAAACAATCGTTAACTCTCTTGCGTTTTTGCTGTTGCAAATTCAGGATGAGGACGCCAAACGTGGAATGTGTGTGCAACGAAACACATGATCATATGAAATGAAGCGACTGTAGACTGCACAAATCGTTTCTTGTACCGAATTGAAAGTATCCGAATGTCTGGTGATCTTAAACATTCATGAAGGGTGGACTCTCTGTTCAAAAACTTAGGCTTGCTTTTCATCTGTCACAAAAATGCAAGTCAAAGAGACCGGGTCTCCATCAAAAATTGCGAAGAAAGACCCTATCGATTCATCATATTGTATGCAAAGAAGAAGTTTTTGGTTATGACATTATGGAAAACAGTTTTGGTTATTAGTTGGTCGTTATTGGTTTTGCTACTGCCTACCTCAAAAATGCTAATAGACCTCCCCTAAATATTATACGTTAGAGGAAGAAAAATATGTCTACAAATTGGAAGATAATGCAAGTAGTAGGTAGCGCAAAATGCTCAGAGAATATTCTTGTGTAGATTGAATTAGTAGGAAAACTCTAAAAATTTGGGTCAACTGTTTTGTGGTTTCGAAAAGATGGATGGAAACCGCAAGTGACGAAAGAGGATAACACTTTCAGTCTAACATTGACATCTGGGCTTTAACTTGCTTAGACATTGGGTTGTAAGCAGGAAATAGAATAAGATAACGAGTGAGAAAAATTGCGATTATCCAAAATTTTATCAGAGCGAGATACAAATCGCGAAGTACGATCGGCTAGCGCGTTCATTCGAATCACAGCCACGGAAAGCAAAGGATACACACGGACAAACACGTGTCTTGTCCCTAAATAATCTGACAAGGCCTTGGAAATTAGACGAAGCAGCACCATTCAAAGGCGTAAGTGTCACTGGCTGTTATACACTACTCGCGCAAATGAGAGGTTTAGGTTGAAAATCCTGAACTGCTGGTGCGCTTTAGCTTCAACGACACTGAGCCGTGCTATCAGAACTTCGCACGCGTATTTCGCTTTATCTCCCAGCAGGTTTACTTCTCCCTGCGCGCGCAGTACGTCTAATCATTGGAGAACTTTCAGCTGACGGAGCCTCCTCAGCAAATCAAAAATTACGCGATAAGGTATCATCGTAAGGCTGGGAGGGAAAAGCACCTGCAAAATTTACCGGCGGCAGTGGAAGTGACACTCCAGGGTAGGGATGTTTACACCAAGTATCTCTTATAATCCTGCAAAAAGCGACTCAGTTTATTTCCAGAAAAGAAGAAGAACAGCACCAGAAACTAACCCAGTGATGGAACTCAGAGAACTGCAGAACCAAAACCAGGCATACCTCGCATTGTCGCTTGAGTAAGCTGTCGAATCGATTAAGGTATGCATTGAAAATCCGTCAAATGGTTAGTCCTGATTATTTTGTTTGGAGCAGAACACCTCAAACCACTTCCCGCATGGACATCTTCATTTCTCCTCAATGCCTTGATCGTTCATTTTAACTTTATCTCGTTTATCTGCATCTTGTTCGTTGATTTGCTGTTACCTATTATGTTGCAGTATAGGTTGACATTCAATGTGAGCTCATTTCGTTCATCTTTATCTTGTTCGCTTTGAGATATCGTTACGTGTACGTGTATTAAGACAACACTCTAAATGATCTTTTGAGTTGATTTCTTTCCTCTGTATCTGTTCCTCGTTGAGTTATTGTTATGTGCCTTACTGTATTATATTAAATTACTGGAAGTATCGTATTGTTTCGGGCAATTGATTAATAAAAGATGATGCCCAGCTTGTATATAGTGCAAGTACTAGAGCTAGAAGGAGTAGTGGATCCCGAAAAGGAGAGAGTGCGGCAAGCGGCACTGAGCGGGCTAATATAAGCGGCAGTGGGCGGGCTACTTTAAATGGCATTGAGCGGGCTATTATAAGCGGCAGTGGGCGGGATCCTTTAGATGGCATTGAGCGGGCTGCTTTAACTGGCAGTCAGCGGGCCGCTATGAAGCGGCAGTGATGTGGAAGCCACATGGCATTCAGCGGGCATCCACGGTGGCAGCGATAAGGCGCGGGGGCTTTTGGTGGGGATTGGTGGCGGCTTTGTGGCTGCCCGCTGAGAGCTTCCAATTGTCTGAGAGGTTCCCGAGCAATGATATGGCTTTTAGTTGGCAGCCACAATGCAGTATTACGCATCAAGGCTGCCTTCTCATAGCACTTATGCGGCCCGCTCACAGAAATCCTGCATTCGCATCTTCATCGTTTCCCGGTCGCTGCCAGCCTAATGCAGTCGCTGCCCCGTCGCCGCCTTCTGGCTGCTTTTGTAGCAATGATTGCGCTCTGCAGCTATTTTCTGAGTCGTGAAGAATTATAGCTGCCCGCTGGTAGCCCGTCGCTGCCTGCTCATCGCCATTTTTGCAGTATCGTCGCCCGCTCACTGTCACTTTCGCAGTGTAGTCGCCCGCTCACTGAAACTGCTATTTACTGCCGCCTCACCATAGCCTTTGATTGCCTGAGTGAGAGCCTTTGATTTCTTTTTTTTTCTTTTCTTCCATATTGACACCATATGTTTCAGGTTTCTACCGTAATCCTACAGTAATGAAGAGAGATGGGTGATTCGTTTTAAAACGCAAATCTAAGTTGAAGCCAGCTCTACAAAACGGTACCTGAAGCAAGGCAAAAGACTTTTTGGGAAGAGAGATATTAACGATCAAACGTTCGAAACATTTTTTTGGGACACCCTGTACATAAAACTCAAAGTGTGTTTGTCTGTTAATAAGTATGTTTTTATACAAATCTTTCTGAGTGGACTAAATGAGCTGAAACTTTGCACACTTATGTTTTGGACCCCGGCGCAGAACATAGGCTACTTTTCGCGGCGATTTACTAGATCCCTCTATTGATTTGTTGATTTTTTTACTACAGCTGGGAAAATGAGGCTTGACATGCTCAAACCAATCATTTTGCCGTGACCATGTAGTCAGGGGATGGTAGAGCTCATTTTAATCTCAATTTCGGAAAGATGCGGATTCGTTTCAAAGCCCTTTTTGCGCAGCAGAAACTCAAAAGCGTAAGTATAAGTAACTTCTTCTTAGCTAAACTGGAGGTCCCGAGTGAAACCGGACCGCCGGCTACTCAGACAATTGAAAGCTCTCAGCGGGCAACGTTAACTACCATTTTCAATGAGCGGGCAGCCATAACTCGGAAAAAGCAGCGAGCGGGCAGCGATAACTCGGAAAAAGCAGCGAGCGGGCAACTATTACTTGTGCAATTCAAAAAAAAATGAATGCATAGCATGTTAGAGCCTACGTCGGCAGCCAGCAGGCGACGACGAGGCAGCGATAGCAGATAGTTGGCAATGATCAGGAAGCGATAGGGTTGCGAAAGCAAGGTTTTAGTGAGCGGGCTGCGAAAATGCCATGAGCGGGCTGCGATAAGTCATTTCACTGTACTAAAGTGGGGGTTTTATTGTGTCTGGTAGCAATGTACATCAAGTATATTGTAAGTGAATTTGAATCAGCTGTTACTAATTCGTTATTGTAGCTGACTCATACACTCACGGATATTGTCAAGATGTGTTATCTGGGAAAGGAGAAGTACCGACGGTGACAGCTGGTGACTGTGGCTCTGGACTCGCGGCAATCGTCTGCCAATAAATCCTACGTGTCTCGCTTACTCTTGCTCAACATATCAGCCCGTAGTAAACCCCCCATCAGGGCATCTTTCTCGACGCGGACCGGCGTTGATCTCATCACGCCTCAGTCTAGCATCCGGCGAGCCATTGATCTGGATGCGGATCGCTTCCGAGGCATCACAATCAAGTGCCTTCTTGAAAAGGGAACCACTTGAGCTGGTTTGGTCAAATGGGTAAGCGGTTGGAATTACACGAGCGCGGCCGTGGTTCGAGTCCGACTAGCGACACGTATTTTGATGCATCGCTGGGCAATCTTTGATAGCGGCCACTACGCAATCGATGATGACCGCTATCAAGGATTTCGCCTAACAAATACACGGATAAAACAACAACGCAATTTGTGACAAAAATTTTATGAAAAAACGAAATGGTTGCAGCGTGAATTTAATGAAATGAATAAATAAGTTCTTGTTTTGGACAGCTAGTGAAAAAAAACAGTGAGATTTACAAAAAAGAGAAGAATTTGTTTTTTTTCTTTTCCTCGCCAAAATCAGCTGTTCATCGATCCTCTCCTTTTGGGCGCGGTTGTGCAGTTTCGCGCCGATTTTTTCTGCATTTTTTGGCAAAGTTGTGTGTATCGTAAGTTACTCAGGAGCAACTTATGTTAGATGCAGTCACCTCTTGTCTGCGTCTCCTCTTCTACACACTATTTGGATCACTCTAACATCCGTTCACGTTGAGGTGACTTGAACGTGAACTGATGTGGAAGAGTTGACTGCAGCAGGTGGACAGATCGTCAACTATCAGTTGACTTGACCATCTTATAGCATGGTAGGGTGGGCGGTCATCAGTTCACCTCACGTGCGGTGAACTGATGGGTTAAGTTGAGTTCACCTCAACTGATCGAGCTTTACTACGGGCCATCGTCATATGAATTCTTTGCGCACCCGTATTCCTATATTGTAATTTTTTTAATTTCTAATAAACATTAGTATGACCTGTTGAACATTGGATCATTTACAATAAAAGCAGATTAGGTGCCACATTCTACAACACTGATTTCGGAAGTTATTGTTTCTCATTTATTTTCTATGGTCCTCTACAATTGAAAGCACTTCAAGATACTAATCATACTATCAAAGTAGATGCGCTAACCGTCTATCTTCATTACCCGCGAAATGATTCCTTAGATGAGTTTTCATTTCTTCACTTGATTTACGTATTTTAGACAATTCAACACATCGGATGAGCTGAATGTGGAAAATTTCAGGTAAATCGGTCGGCGAATTAATGACATCGCCAAATTCGTCGATCGCACCGAAGACTTTAATAATGCGTCTTTCTAGCATAACTTCATTTAGTTTCAATGAATTCTGAGTAAGAAATTGATTTGGACTCGGATTACCGTGACGAATTCCTGATGATTCAATGAAAAGTTTTGATATCATAATGCGTATTCAACAGGTTTCTTCATACGCTTTGGAATATACAAAGATCAGACTAGGGCAAAGGTATGGTAAAAACAAAGGCCCTTGACTTTACTTGCGAAACGCTATGTGCCGCACACTGCCCGTCGCTGATTGGAAACTACAGTCGATTCGTTGATCGCAAGGACTGCACGAAAGTTGCAAGCCGCGCGACGCGGCTGAAATCTTGAAAGAGCAAAAATGTACAGTGGCGATTTGTACTGGGACAAGTGTTTTGATTTGCAGCATGCGCTTCGCCGCCTGTGCGGTTAACAACTCGAAGATATTTGTGTTTCTATAGTGACTTTTTTCCTGAAGCCGTGAGTGGTCACGCTGGCGAGCATTGTCTCATTTTAAAGCTCAGCTGAAACAAGTTCGCGCCTGTTAAGCATATTATTATCATCTTCTTGGAAAGTATATGATAAGATAGCGCTTGAATGATAAGATAAGGCTAACAAAAGGTGTTCATTTTTTCCTCTACTGGCTGGTTGAGCTGCCGAGTTTTATTTTTTTGGGAGTTCGCCTCTATCTATCTTCGCCTCCCTCACTAATCGTTCTTCATGACTGTAGGATTACAGTATGAACTTTCAGCATAAAGCATCACTGTGGAATAGACCTTTTGATGAAATAATTCAAAAAAGTCTGAAAGTTTGTGTAGCAAGGTTTTCAGGAGTGCTGATTTCACTACATAACAATTCACCAGTTTTTCGAGCTTTTTTGATAGCATCTTCACATTTCTGACGAACATTAGAAAAACGGTTGCTACCCCAAATCTGTGATAACTTATGAAAGAAGCACTATGATGAAGTGCAAACTTCAGTAACTCGATCAGACCAGTTCATGAATTTCTGGCCTGTTTGGCTTTCTTTCTGAGGTAAAATACCGGTCTCAATGTCTTGGTATCCTCCTCGAAGTTCCTGCCTTAATCCTACAGTAATGAAGAGCGATTGATACTGTAAATCCAAGTTGAAAACCGCTCC